TAAGCTACCATCACCAGAAAATGCAAAGAAATCTACAAATTATTACCATTTGCCACAAAGGCAAAAGGACCTTTCCATTTCTGCAGAATCTTGAAAATAATGATTGCCATTACTAATTCTTGGCAGGCTAGCAGACCTAGTCATTTACACCTTCTTTACAACTTAGTTCATGTTTGCAGCCATGTCCTGGTCTCAGAGTGCTAGATTTATCATTTAATTATGTCAGCTAACATGTTAAGGTCATTAATAAAACTAATAACCTTGCTGTAACAGATTTTCAAGTTCTTCAATTCGTTCTTCATAATCACGTAATTCTTCTCGATGCCGACGATTTATTTCTGTCAATTTCTGTTGATGTGCATTCTGCAATACTGACATTTCATGCTGGTGGACATCAATGTCCTGACTTCGGCTCTGTTTAAGTTCCTGAAAACATATATACACAAAGTTAACCACATTTACCCTCAAAGAATATTCCTCAGCTAGTTCTATCATTATTGTCCAAAAGTCTCTATTATTCAAAATAATTCTCTGTACACACTAGGGCTGAAAAGAATTTAAACACAGGCCCCAAATTAGGAAAATCCTGAAAGACACTACCTTTTCCTCTCTTGGGCCTTAAGAACAGTTTTCCAACTGCTAAGAAGGGGACATCAGCATGAAACAAATGAAAAGCAAGCAAAATAATATGTATTTTGCTTAGTGTCTGACCACGAGCTTCCCTCCTCCTGAAGACGCATTCCACTCACACCAGTGCCAGCCTTCTGGCCAATCCCACCTGCTGCCCTTTCCCTGTCTCACTCGACCTTCCCTCTACCAGTCTTGATAGGATGCCCAAACTGACAACCAAGGTGCTCTGCCACTCAACTTGAGAATGCCAGTTTCTCTCCCAGAACCTGGACCATGAGCTGAGCCTGACCAGAGCTCATGAAAGCTGTACCCTGAAGAGAGTCTACTGTGTCCTGCTGCCTAGATCCCTGATGATGCTCCCATCCCTGTCCTTTCTGAGACCAGAATGTTCAACTCCTCCCTCAATGCTATGGCTTACACTTGGGCTTCTCAGTATATCCTCTTTACTTAGCCAAAGATAGTTGTTGGTGCTTATAACCAAGAATCCTTATTCTAAATTAGCTTGTATTTCCAGAGAACAAAATTGAAAGGTCACCTCTAATAACGTGTCAGGTACTAAGTAAGGTGCTGCCAACAGCCTCACACAGTAATGAGTGTGAGGACGGTACGGGGCCAGGTCAGAGTCTCACTCTGCTGTATGGTGCAGTCACTGTGAGTAAGAACCAACTCAAAGACACCTAACAACAACTGAGAGTCTTAATCTCCAAAACAATCCTACAGTGTAGTTATTAAGATTATGATGAGAAAACAGAAGGGCAGAAAGCTTAAGAAATTTGCCCAAAATAGCATAACCGGTAAACAGAAGAGGCAGGATTCAAACCCAGATCTTATCCTGGAATCCACTCACCCTAGTATGGCAGTAACACTAAAACAAAAATCTACAAACTCTGTACTTGAGAATAATCGACACACTAAAAACAACTCATTGCAGTAATCAACATGGTGGCACTAAAGAAGAGGAAGACATAAGAGAGTTGTACGGGAGGTACAAACAAAATGAACCCTTTTGCACATATGGGTGGAAAATGGGTGCACAGGCTGAACTATTAGGTATGTCCATGCAGGGGGGAGTGTGCCAAGACCATGTACAGGGTTGGCAGACAATGCTTCTACAAGTGTATTGGTATGTTCTGTAAGAATTCCCAGGTATATAGTAGAGCTGACAAGGAACAAGGTTGTAGTCACTTCTTGGTCACAGCCAGCTACCTACAGAGAGTGAGTAGTTGCACCTGTGGGCTAGAAACCATAGTCACAGGAGACACCAAGCTCAACTGGCATAACATACTACACAAAAGCATTGTTCCACATCCTACTTTGGTGAATAGCAACTGGCATCTTAAAAGCTTGCAGATGGCCATCTAGATGCAACAATGGGTCTTTCCTCGTCCAGAGCAAAGAAGAATGAGGAAAACAAAAGAGGCATGGAAACAATTAGTCCAAGCAACTGGTACATCACGTGATCCTCAGCCTATACAACTATGAGACCAGAAGAACTAGATGGTGCCCAGCTACAACTGTCAACCACTTGGAGGGGGATCTATGTAGGAGATCCTGGATAGAGTGAGAGAACAATGTGTAAAAAAAACTCAAAATTATTAAAAAAAAAACGACAAGGTTTGCTGGTCTGACAGAGCTTGATGGAACCACTGAGACTATGGCCCCTATTTGCCCTTTAGGCCTGGAACTGAACCTATACCTGTGGCTTCCAGTCAAACAAAAGACAGGCATATGAGCTGAACATTTACATTAGATAGATACACTCCTTGGA